GTTAGCTTTGATGATATTTCGCAAATGACATGATGAACGAAGGCCCGGCCAGTTTTTGCATGAAACGAGAATGGATATCTCTTAAACTGAGTCAGCCTAAACGTCGTATTTAAGTCAAACGGTCACAGTTTAACGGAAAGTATCCATCGTTTTCTGGTGATATCGAACTAACAATCTTTTTATTATGCACTTTCAACGAAATAAAAGTCTTCTTAAGAACGAACTATCACTCTGATGAAACTTTCATGTGTATCATGGACTCTTTAAAGGATTTGTTGTGGTCGAGATAAGATGTCTTATGTATTTATAAGCTAAAATGCATATTCAAAACTTTACTCAAATCTTTATTACATTTTCAACCAAGTCCTCTTACCAATTTTAAACACACTTAAAGGCACAATCGCATCGTTATTTTACATGGTTGTTGCTATCTGGGGTACAGTTAGTGTCGCTATTCACTAGGTTAATATCATGAAGTAAGAAACAACCGTAGATTTGCCCATCATTATGCCCTCATTATACATTGTAATTCAATAGGAAACTTATGAATATTGTCTATGAATGCCGAGATAAATCCGAGAGGCTAACAATAACGTAGGTTTTCCTGCTCACAAACTAAATCTATATTTATTGGTTATTATAGGAAGCAATTTAATTTCTTATCTGAACTTTTTGATGAGCTAAAAATACTATATAAAGTGGGCTGAACGACATACTAACCTAAGAAAGTAATAACTATCTTAATGTGTTATTTAAGAATTTTATTACTATTTTAAAAGAGCTAAACGACTCTCAAACTTGTATTTATAAATCAAATATGTATTGACTCTAATTAAGCCGCTCAACTTGAGTGTTGATTACCGTCGTACCCTTTTCCCCTATAAGGCCATGCCAGGGCGCGAAGGTGGCAAGAAGAAGCCGCTTAAACAGCCAAAGAAAGAGGACAAGTTTATCGATGAATCGGATGTCGCCTTAAAGCTGAGAATGCGCGAAGAACAAAAGAAGCTTGAAGACTTCAAAAAAGTAGCTTCGACCAGAGGTCCAATCGGTTCGGGCTCAAAAAAAGTTTCTAAAAAGTAGCTCAGTTGGCAGTACTCGGATGTATATTTTCATGTTAAATAAATCTTTTTCATTTGTATTACTGTTACTCTGCGGAATCTGATTACATGGACAATACTCGTAACTGTCAACTTCTTACGGCATAGCAGTCGAGACATCTCAGAGATATCCTCCCTCATCGTGCGAACCCAGTAGTCGTTTTTTCTACGCTTGTCCGAGCTCATGGCCGTACCTGGGTTATGGTATCTCCGAGCAGATTCATTAATTCAGCCCCCATACGAGGTTTTACCTGTATCTAGTTCTAAAATATTTTGCCTGTTCAACTACCTGTTCCCATTATCCTTGGAGGGGACTATTGCGCCACCGTGCTGACGGTACTTCATAACGATTGCTCAAGATCAGTTTTGCTCATTTCGTCGCAGATTCGCAAACTTGGCCAATCCTCGCCATCCTAACGTTTGATTAAACCAGTATTCATAGTGGATATAGCTAAGATTCACCACGCTGGTGCGCGTTGGAGTCAGACCAAATATGGCATCCTATGTGCGCAATTACATTTTTACAATTGTGGCAAGCTAAATTAACCTAGTCTTTTCAAGCAAACCACGACACTGAATTGTGTAGAAAAGCTGGGTTTTGAAGAATCTCTTAATAGAAGGGTGTCGCAATAACCTTCGTCTAACTTGTAAACATGGGTGGAGGAGATTAATAAGTTGGTAGAGGGGGATTGTCTTGGGGCTGCGACTAGGTTTGTGCGAATGACTTTCCGGCTCATCACGCGGCCCCGACAAGTCTGCTGAACTGTCGTATGGTGCACATCGGCAGAACAGGACGTTAGGCCTCACGATAACTCACCAAGCAAAAAGGAATTTGGCCTCCCGCAACCCTATATACTTTTGGTAGCGTAGCTTTGTCCGGTTAGTGAGACATCTCAATTTCGTTGTGTCCTGTGCCCTTACATTCTTTTCTCTGTCTGCGGACAAAGCATGAAGCGACTCCAATTGTGGCCGAACACCACCCTCCCCCAGATCACTCAGCTTTTTGGTCCTACGGTGTTGCCGCATCTGATTAGACGTGTTGTATGCATGCAATCTCGAGGTGCATGCAACGAAAGTTAAAACCAGATCTGAGGCTAATCATTCTTGCTCGACGGTTCCTGTCGCCTCTCTCTACTCCCATCTGACAGCTACAAGTAGTCTCTAATTTCGAACACATTATTTGTACTCAGGGCGTCGACTGTTTTGTTGGTTTCCTTAGATTCCTTATTCTTCCGTTTACTGACAGTTCCCACGTCCAGCTATGAACTTGAATTTTGGCCAGTCTGGCGTCCCGTTTGGGTTGTGCTTGGCCGGTTATAACTTTTAGACCCATAAACCTCTGCATGCTGTTTTATGTTCAGATAACCTTTTGAGTAAAGGTCGGCAGGCCTGCCCCACAAACACTAAGTGACGAGCAGGAAGCCTTATAGCACCTCGTTTATGAGGGTTAGTCCGAAATTCCAAGGAAGGATGGCGTCACTGAAGAGTGTTATTTTCTCATAATAAAATACCCCGATGTCCCGCTTGAGTGATTCACCTATCTTTTGGGACAGCAGACATAATATTAGCATCAGGACCCTAGTCGAGTGGTCCAGCTGCCTATCTTGCCCCAAATAGATGCTACCCTCCATCCTATGTGCAAGTATCTTAGAGACGTTTTCAATTAATCCTAATGCGAAATTGCTCTTAACGAAACTTTTACTTAATCGCCTAGTTCCCTGTTCCCGATAGTTAACATCAGCAAGGCGCAGGCTTCATTTTATCATGAATATCATAAATACTACTTTAGTCATAAAATATGGACGATAAGAAGCTTAAAATGGACCCCGAATCTGCGGGTTTTCTATATATTATTACCCTCTTTGCTTCCCTCTGCTAACTAGATCTGGAAAAGGTAAACAATCACCCTTCGCTGGTTCTATGGTAAACCTGATATTCCCGTCGATAAATGAATAGACATAAAGAGCTTTCATAGGTCTTATTTGTCGTTTCGCCCAACGGCAAAGTAGTTATCCATGCACCTAACCACTAAGTGGACACAGCTATGCTATAAAAAGTAGATATGAAGGCAGCCAGCCACCTTTCCTGTCTTTGTGCTTATTGAATTACCGTAACGCACGATGTCCTGCTCTGACGATGTTCGTTAGATGACCTACGGGAGATCGGGGCGGTGCACCGAGAGTTATTCGCCCAAATCTAGTAAAGTCCAGGCAGCCCCCTTCGATGCCAACCTATGAATCCCCCCAATTCGCTTCTTAAAACTAAAATAAATGGCACGCCAACATAATAGTGAATTCACATTTTTCCTACTCCAGGATCATAATCCTATGGCAAAACTCACTGGACGATTAAAATAGCCTCGAGACTCATCTAGGCGACTAATTTTGCACTAGTGTGCATTAGAGCTGGATTTCACGCTTAATTATGAATAAATATGGCGCTTATTAGGTGTATCCCGCTTCTCATCGGGGCATGAGTGTGTGGATGATTGTTTGAAGCCGACATTTCGTATAGCTGCTGGACGGTGTCCTCATAGGAAAGGTGCTAGCTAGGTAAGAATAATAAGACTTCGGGAAATCCCAGTGCTACTTATTTCATTCATTTAGAGGTCCACGCCTGGTAGTGTATCATTGAATAGTCATTCAGTCGGCTTGATCTATAACAGAGCGAAGAGGGCCCCGTGTCTATACGTATATGAGGTCAAAGCAAAATTCGCGAATCACCATAGGACTTTTCCTTCGATAAATAGTTAACTATTCTTATAATCGGGTCTACAGTAAAAAGTGGACATCCTGCATCGTTTACCATGTGCACTTTGACAATATATGCGTAAATATTTTGGGGTTATATCGAGAAGGGCTAGGTGGATCTAAATAGGGAAGCGACGTGTCGCTCAACTATTCACTTTGCTTAACCCTTTATTTAAAGATAGACTAATTATTAAGATTGAATAAAATAGATTCAAATTTTCTGATTTGTGTATAGAAACAATCGGTAATGTACATGAGTAGGTTAGCTGAGACACTACGGCGGCAGATAAGGAGCATGAATAAACAGACAAGATTCCAGGTCATG